GGGCTCGCCTACCCTTTCGCCTCGATCTCTGCCGTGGAAGTCATCTGTGGCGTTAGGTAAAACATTAATTAATAGGTGCTTGTCCTCTCCACCCAATAGTCCGAGGGCTTTTGAATCTATACAGCTAACGATACTGGATGTGGCGGCAGATGAAGGTTCAGGCTCGACTGAGTGGCGTTAGTTAGAGGCCTTGGCGGACCAACTAGGAGAGGTTGTTGACCATCTTCAATCCAGAAAAGCCCTCCATAAAGTTACTGGTGAGCAATTAGAGGAGATGGATTTGTTGGAGAAGCGACGGAAAACTTGCACCGAATCTTATGAGGAAGAGAAGCGCAAGACGGGGGAGGAGAAGACCTATATCGATGGTCTCCAGGGGAGCATGTTGCATTGGAGGCTGAATTAGAACAATTTGAGCACGGCTAGAGAAGATCCTTGAGAGATTGCAAGGATGTCCGAGAACCTAATTGCTCGAGCCGTTAGCCATCTCGAGTTGTATAATCAAACACGGTCCATTGACGGTCCCTTGCTCGGGTTGTTTGGCTGTCGAGCAATGTTGCAACAGAATTTTAGCCGGGCAGAATGGAGCATGGCTAACCTCCGGCAATTCTGGACTGATATCATGACGGATTGGATGGTTCTTTGCCTTGTAGTTCTAGAGCCTACTCATGATTGGGATCCTTCGGCGGATTTGTCTTTCAGATTGGTTGTTTCATTCTCTAGCGGTTCTCCAATAACCACGGCTGTTGGGGCATCCTCAGCCGGTGATAGCTCTTTGCTTGATGTCCCTGTGGCTTAAGATGACGAGTAGCTCTGACAGACAGCTCTTTGTTTTGTATTTGATATGTTGCTGCTTGTATGTTAAGGGCGTGCATGTCTGTTTTTGGAACTTGTCTTTTGTTTCATATGGGTGGCTACTCTATACAGATTCCACACTTTCTCTTTTGCGCCTATGAATGCATTAGTATCCGTGACATCCATTCAATGCATCTCATCCATATTCCATAGCTTGTTGATGCCCAGTGAATATTTTGATGAGCTGATTGATTTGGTTTATGATAGATTTGACGGTGCTCCCAAATCCAACAGCAAAGGTAGAAAGGTTTCAAGTTCTTTCCATTGATTGAAACCCATGACTCATCGCCGTCAGGTTCCATTAGCTTATATGCTCCGTTCAAAAATTTCGCCGGGAGTATATAAGGCCCTTCCCAATTGGGTGACCATTTCCCGAGTTGTGGATCTTTGGGTCCTTTTGGAGTATAACCGTCCAAACCAAATCTCTTTCCTGGAAAGATCGTGGTCGAACCCGTCTTTGGAATGTCCGTTCGGTTTTCTCTATTTGAAGCCAGAGGTATTCAAACGCCTGAAGGTGTTCCTCCGTCAGAATGTCCAACTTGTGTAACATTGTCCGGTGCTGCTCTTCCATTGGTATTTATTTTTGTTTCAAGATTGTAAAAGAAGGGTTGTGATTTTAAGGGGTAGGACCGTGTCTTGTCCGTAGGTTAGTCTATAGGGTGTACTTCTGGTTGTGGTGGACTTTGCATTCTGATAAGCCCACAAGGCTTCCTTCAAAGTATCATTTCATACCTTCAGATTATCCTCCAGTGCCATGATGGTGATTAGCGTCTTATCAGTGGCCTCGGATTGCCCGTTGGCTTGCAGATAATACAGAGAAGAGTGTACCAATCGGATGTCGTATTGCACCACAAAGGCCTTAAGCTTCGCGCTAGTGAACACCGTCCCTTGGTCGGTCGTGATGGATCTCGGTATGCTAGACCGGTGAATAATATTATTCTTAATAAAATGAATAACATAATTCAGCCGTACCTAGACCAACGGGACAGCTTCTACCCATTTTGTCAAGCAATCGGTTGCCACGAGAATTAATGTGAATCCTTTTGATGATGGCGGGTGAATTTTACTAATGACGTCCATCGTCTATCCTCTAAAGGGCCACGGTTCAAGAATCGAATAAAGCTCATGTGAAACCCAGGGCCAGAAATATCCATATCGTAGGATAGTCCACCTCATGATCGGGCCAACCCTGTGTGCACCTCTAATTCCTTCGTGCACTTCTGCCATTACTTTCATAGCTCCGTCTCGTCCCAAACATTGTGCTAAGGTCCCATCAGCTCGTCGGTCATAGAGTTCACCGTCGATGCACGCATATTTCAAGAGTTGTTCCCGTATGTGCCTCGAACCGGCTTTCCCAAGGTCCTCCAATGCCTCAAGGAGTTTTGTGCACCAGTCTGCTACTCTGTTGCTAGTTAGGCATTCGAATTTAGTATTTGGTTCCTTCGTTCGATACCTAGATGCCCATTGGGCGAGGTCATTTGCCTCCGAATTATCCTATCAGGGAATGTTGTCCAGTGTCACCTCTGTAAGCCGCTAGAGCAGATTGTGCACTTTCTGAAGAAGTTCCTGGAGTCGTGGGTCTTCGCATTTAAATTCCTTTAGTGCTTTCCGGATGACCAGTTGGGAGTCGCCTCGGATCAAAATGTTTCTATCCTGTCTTGCAGCAAGAAAATGCAACTCTAGCAAGAGAGCTTCATACTCAGCTTGGTTGTTGGTTATTCCATGCAAGAGCTGATGTGCGAAACACCACACTTCTCCTTGGGGACTAGTTATTAAAACTCCAGCCCCTGCTACTCCTCCGGTGCTCGAACCATTGAATGTAACTTTCCATGGTTCCAATCCGATGTATACCGTGGGGGTGGCCTCAATCATTCCGGGGTGTTCGGCCAAAAAATCGGCAACGGCCTGCTCTTTCACTGCTTTTACGGGCTAATATCTTAATGCGAACGACACTCATTTCATAGCCCACTTGACTAGGTGGCCTTGGAGGACCGGCCTGCTCAATAAACATCTCAACAAGTCGACTTTGCATAATACGATAGTTTTGACAAGCATCAAATAATACTCCAACTTCATGCATGCATAATATAAAGATCAACATAGTTTCTCGATACATGCATAATGAATTTTAGTATTATTCAAAGTCTTACTGAGATAATAAATTGTTCATTCTTGTCCCGACTCATCATCTTGTGCAAAGAGGCAGCCGATAGTATCCTCCGTCGCCGAAACGTAAAGTTTCAGCTCCTTCCCCCGGATTGGCGGCATCAGCACCGGTGGTGATGTAAGGGCCTGCTTGACCTGTTCCAAAGTGGCCTGTTATGATGTTTCCCATTCAAAAACCTCCCGACTTCGCCCATAGCAACACAGAGAACGCCTTCATCTTTCCGGCGGCGTTGGCAATGAATCGCCGTAAGTAATTGATCTTTCCCATCAAGCTCTATGATTCCTTGAGGTTGTGTGTGGGGGCCCCAATTCTTGGACTGCCTTTGTCTTATTTTAATTGATTTTGATCCCCTCTGATGGACGAAAAACCCTAGAAAATTTTCCGTTTGAATGCCAAATGCACACTTTACCGGGTTCATTTTAAGGTTGTACCGCCTCATCTTGGCGAAGGCCCTCCGGAGGTCAATGAGATGGTGGTTGAATGCTCTGGATTTGACAACATCGTCGATGTAAACTTCTATACATTCGCTGATTAGATCATGGAACATCACGTTCAAGGCCCTTTGATAAGTTGCTCCGATGTTCTTCAATCCGCAGGGCATTACGATCCACTCGAATATGTCGATTGCCCCTGGACATCGAAATGTTGTCTTGTAAGCATCCTCATCGGCTAAGTACATATGATTGTATCCTGAGTACCCGTCCATAAAATACAAGATGTCATATCCATCTTTGGACTCGACAAGCATATCCGTGATCGGCATGACGTATTCATCTTTGGGCGTCACCAAGTTAAGGTTGCGAAAGTCGATACACACTCGGATCTTCCTATTTTTCTTCATGATGGGTACGATGTTGGATATCCACTCTAGGTATCGGAAAGTACGAATAAAATTAGCCTTAAGAAACTTTTCCACTAACACTCCGGCGGCCAAATGTGCGCTCCCTACAAAATTTTTGGTCCCCATGGTAGTGGCGATCATATCCCCCCAATTTTTTTGATTTTGCATAGTGTAGACAAAGTCATCGCGTTGACGGACGCTCCGCCGTTGACCAAAACTTTGCTGATCGTGCAACCATCGAGATAGATAGTTAGGAACAACGGTTTAAGGTTCCGTGTTTGTTCTTCGGCTAACTTCCGAAATATGGTTAGCTCTGATTCCATCTTTGGCACCTCCTATTCCAGATCGGCCCATGACAAAAGGCCAGTTTCCTCAACTAAGAAATCCCCTTGGAAATAAGAAGGTTGGACCTCTGAATTTATGCTACGGCCGAAAAATCGTAACAAAAAGCCTTCTTTTCGTGCAATATGCATATTTTCTATGCCTTACTAACGACTTTTATCCATAATGTATACTCGCGTAACGAATATTTTTTGCCACACAATGTTTCGTAACTATTATTGTCGGTCAATGCTCCCTATGGCAGAGTTTTTGTTAGGACGTTTGTTACAAATTTTCCCTCGTAATAAAAAGTCGAGCTTTCCGTGCGCGTGACAGGGTTTTTCGTCACGATATTTTTTACGAAAGTTTCTTGCGTTACAAAAAACTTAGATGACCGCTGGTCAGAGTACAGTTTTTGTTACGATTTGTTGTTATGCCATTGAACCCGTAATAAAAATATTTTTCTTATTGTCACGAAACTGGCCGTAACAACAAACATTTATAAACCACTTTTGTTACATCATTTTATCCTTTTGTTACGTCATTGTACTGTAATAAAAGTATCATTTCTTATGGTCATGCAACCGGTCGTAACAACAAGCATCCAAAACCAAATTTTGTTACGTCATTTCATCCTTTCGTTACAGAAAAATAACGTCACTTAAAAAAAATTTTGTGATGCTATGGATGTTATGCGTAAAAAGTTGACCTGCTGTGATCTCCCTTATACCGAAAGAATTTTTATATACAATCATACTATAAATATCACAATCAGCTATAATTGCAAACAATAGACAATGTAAAATTTGAATCCCAACATAGAATAGTAATATAATGGTATTTATGAATTGATGTCCATCACCTAATAAAAAATAAAGTAACCCATCAAACAAGAGCAACATCTCTGCTACGACATTATGTTCCGCAAAATGCAAGCATTTCAAACATTCAACCTAGTAATAAGCAAATAGGGATATCCATCAATCCATAAACACAATTTTCACCACACAAAAGATAACTTCAAATGTCTATGAATCTAATCCATAGCTAGTTCACATAGCAATTACAACCTACTATCCAAACACACCTACGGCATGCAATCCATACGGCAAGCGGGGTAAAACATTAAGGAATCGTTTGATATGCTTCAGGGGTGGCGCATGAGCTGCAATTGCAACCAAAAAGAGGTTTAGTATAAGTCATATTTCCTTTAAGTTTTGGAAGTCAATACATGATAGGTTTGAAAGTAGATCCATACATCCTTGTAGTTCCACTCAATAGGATCTTCACCGACAACATTGTGAATGGTAGTCGCTCCAATAATGGTCAAAAAAATAAGGAGTGTGTCCGGAACTGAGGCGGATGTAACAAAGACCTTGATAAGGGAAAGTGTGTCACCTACAATAATCACAAGTGCAATTTTTTAGTATGTAATTCACCGTATATATCAACATATGTTCAAACTATATGTATAATATGCCATCACACATTTTTAGTGTAAACTTCTCACCTCATACAACATGGGTATGTACATTCAGCCATGTACTAAAATAATGTTATTCGACCCATGAATTAGGCACCAGAGCACACTACATCCTAATTTCCTATGTGATTGCAACTCGAACTATAAACCAGCCATATACTAATAAAACCAAAGTGAAGGAGCAGATCATGTACAACATTAAAATAATAATTTCAATAAGTAATAAATCCATATGGTTACCCCCAATGTGCACCTAAATAGTATAATAGCAGCATAGCCCTAAACAATGTCATGTGAACGATAAAAAATAAGATCAGCACAAAATCGGCATAGTACCAACATAGCCATGTGCCCCTATATTAACAGCCTACACATACATAATATTCTAACTGTCAAATATGTCAAACTAAAATCTGACCAGACTCAATAAAACCATGATCATATGCACTATGAGACTTGAACGGTCACAACATCGACGATGCGGTATGAACATCATATTAAAGGATTTAAAAGAAAAACGTTAAGGCACAATGCCACTAAGGATCCAAATACCGAGTTGAGATATGGTTTGCATTGTCTATCCAACTCCTATCCATCTAACAAGATAATATACATGTGATTTCATCAGCATAACATGCAACAAAGGACCTAATGTTTAAGTCTTGACACGGGCGTTCACCCCAAATTTAAAAGAATAAAGTTATAGTATCGATTTGAAAAAACAGCAATTATGCCTCTGCAAGTCCATGCTGTGTAATATTAAGTAGAACATAACCTTCATCACAACATTAAGGTACATGGTTCAAAATCAGCAACCTTCTCCACTTCAAAACCTTTTATCGATGCAATTTAACTAGCATTGTATGATTACTACTCTCCACTAGAATTTATTATCTGTCATCTCTAGGCACTAGAGCAACAATAATTATCCTTACCCTAGTTGTGTCAAGGCAAAGTTCTAACTATTCTAAATTTATGCTTACTCTTTTATACGAAAATGAAAAAATCCTCAAGTTTGATGTCGGAAAAATATATCAGATTTTTGGGAATGCACTCAACACTTTACTGCACCATCCACCCGATAAACATAGACCACATAAAAGTTTTTGAACAGTGAAAATGCATTAAAAAGAAATCAGACCTTCCGTTAAACTCAAATTTGGTTATCCTAAATTCACACAGCACGCCTTCGTCTCAACACTTTACTTCCAATCAAAAAACATAAGAATAAGTAAGTAAGAACCTTTCCATTAACATCATTAAATTCCACTAAGTCTGGCCACTTCAATGACTCGGACTCAAAAAATGGGAAACCATGGTTTACCACGACGTATGTATCTAAAAATTACTCAACAAATTCAATGAGTATTAGAAAACGCATGACTACAAATGAAACCATGATGAAATAGCATATAGAATTCCATACTCAATTCTTGTGGTTCTACATTTTAGGGAGCTGAAATTGTCAAAAGCATAAATAAAAATAGTGATGAGTGACTCATTATTTTTGTTGTAAAACAAGCTCCTTATGACCTTATCTAGACAAACATTCAGAAAACAAATCCTTTCGTTGGTCTCTGCAAAAGAAGACACAAAATGCAAGTCATCATCCAACATCCTAAAATTGAAATGATAAGTTTCAGCATTATTACAGCACCTCTACTAAATGCTGCAGACACCCGATTGTGCAAGAGTAGAAACAATATCATGGGCAGCAACTATCTCTATAACTTTTGCCCTTTTCTTCAAAAATGGCAATGACAATGGACCATATCTTTTGGGATCATAACTATCATATTCCTCCTAGATCAAACATGTAAAAAACACAAATGAATTAGAGTATACATATGAAGAGAAAATATACTGATGAGAAGAATTAAAAATAAACAAGTTCTAATCGACAACATTGGAAAAACTTAGTATAGTTAAAAAATAATAATAATAATAATAATAATAATTGAATCAACAGAGATAATAACATGAGCACACAACCTCCATGAAAGTATAATCAAATGAAGGATTATGACACATCAAATTAAATTTGTAGTGACCTGGATAAAGTTGCTAGACCATTTTTGTACTTTACTGTAATTATTGCATGATAACAAAATGAGTGAAAGTCTTATAAGGGTACACCAAAATAAATAAATAAATAAATAAAATTCACAAAATCATCATATGATATGGTGTATTTGTTAATTTTGATTGTGTGTGTTTTATTTTTTTAAAATCTTATTGCAGCATGCAATCTATACTAAAATAATTCTCTTCTCTTTTTAAGCATCACATCCAACACCTATATTCCATTCAAAACATAATATCTAAAAACCTATTTTCCTATTCAAAAAACTTCAAATCCAAAACATCAACAACACAAGCACACACCCTATCCCAAGTATTCAAAAAAAAAGCCTCATAGATGACTGAAATGCAATACAATTATACAGACAGAAAGGCCGTTATATCTTCATGAATATTAAAACAGAACCATGCACCTGTGTGATTTCGCATATATTTATCTTAGTGTAGGACGCCCAAATTCCTTAAAGCAAACAACACAAAACATCACACTAAACTTAATCAATAAATTCACTTGGTACAATTGTATACATTACAATTAACAGTGTAGAAAGTTAAAAAATGCTTCACTTTGCTAGTTAGATGCACATTCAGTACCTGTGTTTTTCTAACCAAGCATCAAACTTCCAAACATCTGACTCAATGTGTAAAAATATACAAAAGTAGAATTTAAATCTTACAAAAGGAACTTCACAATCAAACCTAGAGGACATTCTATAATGTGAAACACTACAAATCTTTCACACTTATCACCCACTGGTTAACAGCTTCTCATACATCAGATCATGTTCTTTGCTTATCGTCCCTATCCGTGTGGCTGAATCCCCCAACAACCAATGAACAAATACAATGAAAACACAAAAAAAAAAAAAAATGTATCACTGGCGAGGGCATGGCAAGGAAGAAGAGCAGGACGAGAAGAAATAAGGGAAGGGAGAAGCTAGAGAAGCCACCTACCTGATGGGTCGACGCCGGAGAGGTGTTCCTGTGATCGCACCTAAAGCCCTCACTTCAACGGGACGTTGGGGCGGGGATAAAGCGAGCAACGACGATCAGCAGAGGAAGCTGCAAACAAAATAAAAATAAATGAAAAAACAAAGATGAGAAAAATATTATCACATACTCCATTTTCAACCTACAGTAGCGACGACGGCCGGGAAAATTAGAAGAAGAGAAGAAGAAGAGGACGAAGAAAGAAGAAGAAAGAAAAGAAGAGAAGGACAAGCAGACGAAGAAAGAAAGAAAAAAGAAAAATTGGGGAAGAAAGGGGGAGGGCAGCAGATTAGATTATATTATGTGGTGGGTAGTGTTTATGTATTTTTATATTTATTATATATATTTTATTTTTAGTAAATTTTATAAATATGATTAATTAATATAAAATTTTATTTATATTTATTTTACATTCAAATTGTTAAAAATGTGTGTTCAATATTTGAAGTTTGATTTTGTTTTTAATTTTTTAATTGTTTGATAAAAATTATATATTTTTTATTTTGTTTTTAATTTTTTAATTGTTTGATAAAAATTATAAAAATATATATCCATTTGTTAAATAATATATTTGTAATTATTGTATATATGATGAATTTTCATCATATTTGTAATTGTTACGAAGAAATTATCATAACAACTAAAAAAAGACGTTGACCAATAAAAACTACTTTTGTCACAATAAAAGTCATTCAAATTTTATTACGAAGATATTGTTACGAATCTTCGTCCCGTAATGAAAGCCCTTTTTTTGTAGTGGTGCGCCTATTCAGTCTTGGTCATTCACGGTGATGTCCAAACTCGCAATCGACGTCTTGTCATCCTCCAACGCCCCGAAAATTGGTTCATCTTCTGGACAGACGCCGCCAGCTCCTCCGAATGAGGTTGCTGTTCTGATGGGGCGCTATCCCTTGGGACAGTTTGTTTCGATCTCCATTCTTGTAGCCTCCTCCTCCGGGGGTAATTTCTTCACCTGAAGTGTTTCCTCAGTCACTACAATTTCCTCCTGCCCCCAGAGGGCTGCTCGCACTGTTGTTCCTATTTTGCGAGGCGTGCGGCTAAGATTTGATGTTTCTGTCTCCGCCGTTGGGCCCTAGTCAATAGTGGGAACCTTTTTCGATTATTCGTCCACCTCTTATCACTTGGAGGCCTTTCCAGCCGTCGCATAGCGTGAGGAGTTATCACCACTTGATCGACTGAAGTCACTCGCTAGACCTTGTCATTCTTCTCAAAACTAACTTCGGCCACAGTTTTGTGTAGCGAAAGACGATCCCATACTCAACTCCTCTGTGGGAGTTTTATGGACCTCCCCAACCATTCAAATACATTCCTCCTTAGTGCGGTCTGCCCATTGTTTGGCCTGCTACCCGAGGCTGATTGGTTCCTCTTACCAGGTCAGACACCAACGACATTAATTTGAGCCGGAAATGGCTCCGTATCGATCTTTATCTCCGACTTATCGGCCAGCTGTAGGAGGCCCTCCTTAATAGCCTTTTGTACCGTGTTTCTGAAAGCGATACAGCTCCCAACCTAGGTCCATATAAGCCATGCCATTTACAATAGGCTTTTTCACTCAATTTCTCATCGAACGGAATTTTATGGCCTTCTTCAAACCGGAGCTGATTATCCTTCAACAAGAAATTAAATATTTTCTCAGTTTTATATATATCGAAAGCATATTGTACCTTGGGAGTGGTCTCCTTTCTCCTAGGTACTTTGAGCACTGGGCAAGTATACGTTTTTCCCTGCGATATTTCAGCCAGGAACGTCTCCTCCAGCTCCTTCGGACAGTCTGCTTCATCCTCCTAGACTTGGATAAGATGTGTTCCGCTTCTGAATTTATGTTGTCTAGCTGCCTAGGAATCCCGGAGGAGCTGTTCTGTCTTGATTGTCTTTCCAGCAAGTTGTCGGAGGTCGTTGTATTACTGTAGGGCTAGCTTCTCCCGGAGCTGGTGTGTCATATTATCGATAGCCATATTAACCGCTTGATTTTCAGGTATCCGGACCTGACAACGCTCCTATGCCCTGTGGAACCTCTTCAAAAACTGTTCCACCAGTTCGTCATGCTTCTGCCGAAGATTATTCAGGTCCGATACCGTCACCTCCGGCAACGGACTATAAAAATGTTTGTTGAACGCCTTTTCAAGATCCGCCCACGTGTTACATGACTTTGGCGGTAGGGACACATACCAAGTAATGCCGGACTTGTGAGAGAAAACAAAAATAATTAGACGTTGAATCATTCGTTCGTCTCAAACTCTCCTCCATATTGTGCCATGAATCGGGCGATATGCTCTATAGTAGAGCATGAATCTTCTCCTGAAAACAATGCGGCCGGAAACCATGCGTTCCGGGACAGTGGATGATCAATGGAAACTTGATCGGGGAATGGCTGTTGGTAATAAGATCTAGCGGGCAGCCGAATAGGGTCACCATACAGCCTCCGAGTTGCTTCTTTGATGGCTTGTGGATTAATAATTGGTTGTGGCGGGGGAGCAATATCAGTATATCCTCCGGGCTGTTCCGGACCTGGCTGGGGGCAAGGAAAGTATTATTGATGGCCCTGTGGAGGGTGAGCCGAAGGTGGACATCCTCGATTCCCCTCGACTAGTACTCGCGGAGGTGCTGCCGGTTGCGAGACCAAGTTACCGAACTTGATCGGAAGACCCTGTGGAGGTCCGTATCCCTGTTGTACGCCTGGGAAAGTTTTTTGGTATGATGTCTGCCCTCCAAGTGGAGGCGGCATGGCCGGAGCTGGTGCACCTAAGCCTCAAGCAATTGCTACAGCCAACGGAGCTAAGCCCCATGGACCTGGAGAAGCGGAAGTTGTCCTGATGGTAGGTTCGTAGGTGGGGCAGATGCCCCCCAAGTCATCCCCGGAGCCGGAGGTGATGAGGCCGTGCCCCTCAAGGGTCAGCAGTTCTTCCTCCGACAAAAATATTTTCTTGACCGTTCGCCCCTGCGGGTGATGCGGGAGCACTTACGCCACCGAATAAAAGATTATTTTGGTATTGGGTGGCTGGTGGAGTATACCCGCTGCTCTCTGGATGTCCCTGATGTGACGGCAGCCTTATGGTGGCCTGCCCCGAGGACCGCCAAGGTCCTTCAGCCACTGTCGCATTCGAAAGGTTGTTGTTTTTGTTTCTTTTTCTCAATATGATTACGTTACCATACTAGAGCGTTGTCTGAGGATGTCCAGACGTACCCCCCTGTGCCACCTTCGCCAAAGGAAAGTTTTCATCATCTCCGGGCCTGGCCACCGGTGCCTTGCCCTTGCATATCTCTTCGTCTCTTGCCCACGCAATTTTGTTCCGGATGGTTGGCTTGAGAATATCAACGAGATATTGAGAGATGGTCAAGGCCGATTCATGAAAGGCTGCTCGAATTTCCTCGCGGATCTAAGTTTGTAAAGTGTTGGCCGAGATGGTGACCAATCTGTCCACGTCTCCTGGAGCTGCGGACAATTCATCATGGGTGACTTCTCTGGAGATGCATGAGGCTGAAGTTTTGCCGGCAAATTATTTTTCCTTTGACATCTTGATTTTCTCCGGCGATGGTAACTTGCGACTCCTTAATTGCATAAAAGGTGTGAGACTCATTGAAGTCCCACTAGGCGTGTCAATCTGTTGTCGCTAAAATTCGTCGGTTATGGCCGGAAAAATCTAGGCCAGTCGAAATCAACAATAATCGGGTTCCCGGCCTACTCAAAAAAGTATATGGGCTAGTCTCACAATAAAATAAATTGATCAAAAACATGTTTAAAATAAATTGATGAACGGAAGAAGAAACTCAAAAAAACGCAATTGAAAAGGAACGAAAATAAATTAAATAGCTACGAATCCACCTAGGAAATAAGGACATAATAAAAAGAAGGACAATAATCAATTATGCAGGGAGAAAAATGAACGAATGGGTTGTTGTGTTGGATCGGATGTTGTGTCTCGCTCCTCAATTTACTCCTTTTTAAATTACCTCTTAATTGCTCTCCAACTTTCTCCCACAATTTTAGGAACAACCTAACCCACTTCTTCCATAACTCCTCATCCGGTCGTGCACGGCTAATTGATTCCTGCTCAAATTATTGGGCCTAGTCTTGGGCTTCCGACTGAACTGGGCTGCTCCTCCCTTGGGCCATTCTGTTTGAGCTGTCGATTGAGTTTTTCTGGGCTGGCCCAATCTCAGACGATTGGATTTTTCGGTGAGCCTCCGACCTGAGATAAAAATTATTTTGTAGAATAACAATAATATATCTAAAATATTGGATATTTTTTTTATTTTTGTGCCTCTAAATCTACTTATTAAACATATAATATATACAATATTTCAAAATGGACTTTATTTATTTTTGGGCAGGCCCGGCCCTGGCCAGGGGCCATTCCCTTGAGGGAGCCATCCTGGATAAGATATATACTCTTATATAAATATAGTTTAAATTACACAAAATCTACCCGTGATTTCATGAAATTGCACCAAATCTCCTATATTTCTAAAATTGCGTCAAACTCTCTCGTGGTTTCATAAACTTTGCGTCTAACCCCCTCAGTGGTCCTTATTTAACAATATTTGATCTAAATGCGCTTAAACTGTGAATAAATTTTAAAATCTCAATTTATAAATCCCTAAAATATTAGTGTTGTGAGGATTTGTTAAATTGAGATGTGAGGATTTGTTAAATATTAGCCCAAGGCCCAAAAACCGTTAAATTTGATTTCATGGAGGATGTGCAATTGAGATGTGAGAAAGAGACATATTAGTGTTGTGAGGAAATTTTATTACCGATTTAGAGTTAAGAATTTTAATTTTGTTTAAAATAAAAATATAATTTAATTATTTATTTTCATAAATGTATTATTCAATAAAAAAAAAGTTTGTAATTTTTTTTAAAATAAAAATATAATTTAATTATTCGAGTGCTCGCTAAATATGTTGGTATTTGCAAGAGAAATAAAATTTTTTATAAAAATTCTCGCTAATTCATAGTTTTTTTTTTTTCTAGTGGTTGAAACTCTAATCTTCAACATCAATATTCTGACACTTTAAATAATATCTTTTTATACTTTGTACATAAGAAAAAAAAAAAATTAATGAAGATTTATATTTTCAATTTCACTTTTAATACTTGTTTGTAGATCAAATAATATTTTTGTAGAATATTTGAAATACTTCTTCAATATTTAACTTAGATTGTGTTCAATTGAAACATAATTTTTTCTTTTCTATAAATATAAATCACTTAAGCAATCTAGTAGTATTTCACAGCAATATGAAATTTTTTTTTTACTATTGAACTATAA